GTCCCCCCCCCCCTTTTTTTTTTTTTTGCTTCATAACATAATCAGTAATTTCATTCCTTTCTCAGGGCCGTGTTGCTTATTCTCTATGTATGATGTTTCCTAAAATTCCTGACCATGCTTTGGGCTTCTCTGGCAAGACTCTGTATATCTCATATCTTGCCATGCAGAAGCATTGCTGCAAGTCTCCTGTCGTTCCTCTTTACCCTCTTGATGTGTTCACTTGTCCAAATCACCTGTTAACACTCTGATAGCTCTTTAAATGCCACAAACTCTCCCCCCCCCCTTGCTACTACTGCTTTTTCACCAACTACAAACCCTGTTTCTTCCCTTTCCTTTCATGGCTTACCTTCTCTAAAAAGAATCGTTGAGTTATCTCTTGCTGGGGAGGTACCACCCTCCACTCTGGGAACCTTTCCCCTGAGTTCCTATAGTATGGAGACTCTGTGGATACTTGGTGGAAAAGGAAATGCAGTCTGTGTATCTACTCTGGGCCCCTTTCATTCATCCTAACTTCCCATGTTCCACAGTTAAGCCGTGGCACTGAAAGCGGATACAGGAGCTGGGGCGTGCCTGCTTGTTAATCCTTGCTTTGAATGGATCATTGGCCCCTTCTTGCTGTGCTCTTGTGGTCTTTGGTTGCGGTGTTCGAACAGTCTGTATTTGACTTAGATTGTAAAGGTGCACTTGTGTGTGTGTGTCTGAGAGAGAAAGAATGATAACGAGGAAAAAGGGAAAACGTATGGACTTGGATTAACACGTGAAGTTTAGCCCTTTGTTTCTTTAAATGTTATTTTTCTTTCTTGGAATTAGTTTATAGTACACGCTTTGTGCTTCTTCCCTATGAGCAGTAGGCGGGATTACGTTTTTGGTGTAGCCCAGGGAAATCTAGTTTCCTGCAGACATCCCCCTCCTCCCGGTGTTCTCTTTTGTCCCTGTTACTTCCCTGAGGGTTGTGGGACAGTGGAAGTGGGAAAAGGATAAAACCCAGTGGTCAGAGGGAAGGTGTAATGTATCAGCAAGCAGTAGAGAAAATGTCGTAAGAACACCTTATGTAGATAACATGATATAATCTGAATGGACCAAGCTACATGAAGAATCTGGAGGTGGGGTGGAAATGTGAAGGAATTGCTTCTTTTCCCAATATGACACTACCCGGGAAGGGACATGATGATTTCAGATAACTAATTTGGGATGCTGCTTAACAAATTTAGAGTCCAATGACACCTTTAGGACCAATAAAGGTTTATTTAAAGGTATGAGCTTTCGTGTGCACGCACACTTTATCAAATGCTGCTGTTAGGAAAATGAGCTGTACCATATAAACCTAGGTACATGCACATTTGGGCATTTGGAACAATTCTACCAGTTGTGCACCACCTTCTAGATCCCTTTTGGGAGATGGCTGCAGTGTGCATGAAAAGTTGCTTACTTTTGCGAGCGTACACTTGGAACCTTGTTGCTCAGTAACGTTGACCAAATAACTTCGACTCGTTAGGCTTCTGGTCAAAGATATTTCTTGCTTATTTGTATTCTCTGGGAGAACAGCTTTCTTTGGGGAAAAGCAAGCACATCTGTTTGTTTTTTTAATTCAGGGCCTTGATATGGGGAAGGTGCCGCCAAGCATATCTGGTGTAAGCAAGCAGGTGCCTCAAAACTACGGGACCTACCCAAGCACTGTCCCTTTAGGCACAGGTTCCACCAATTCCTTGGAAAGACGAAAGGACGGCAGTCTACCGAGACCGGGTTCTACAGCAGCCAACAGGCAAAGGCCTGTCCCGTTACCACCAGCAAGTGGCGCTCATCAGCCAGGCTCTTCCCAGCAAATACAGCAGAGGATATCTGTGCCTCCCAGCCCCACGTACCAACCTCCTGGCGCCCCCTTATTTCCAGGCGGAGACGGCAGGCCTGACCTCCCCTTAACTGTGGCCATCAGGCCTTTCCTGGCTGACAAAGGCTCGAGGCCCCAGTCTCCCCGGAAAGGGCCGCAGACTGTGAACTCTAGCTCCATCTACTCCATGTACCTTCAGCAAGCGACGCCACCAAAGAGCTACCAGCAGGCCGTGTACAGCACTCTCAACAAATCCGTTAAAGCAGGTGGGCTGATTTGATGTTGCCTTTCCTTTCGCAAACGATTTAAGAGCTTTTTTTTTGGTACTTGGCGCATCGCCTTTTGCTCTAAGGTGCTTGTCATTCCAGAAGCTTGAGGGGCGACCAAGGCCAGACCCTTTTCGGTCCAGGCCCCAACCTGGTGGAACTCTCTGCCAAAATCCATGAGGGCCCTGCAGGATCTGACGCAATTCCGCAGGGCCTGCAAGGCAGAGATGTTCCGCCAGGCTTTTGGTTGAGGACAGTGATGGTTCCATCTTGGCTGGCACCCTTCTCTGTTGTTTACATCTATTTTGCCCTCTTCCCCCCTGTCCATGAAGTAGCCGGCAGTGGGAGTTGGAATGGGGACTGGTTATTCACCACCTGATTGTCTTTAATGTTGTACTAATGTTTTAAGTGATTTTATCTTGTTTTATCTGTGGTTGTACATCACCCAGAGCCCTGCAGTAGCAGGGATGGGGCAATTCATAAATACAATTAATAAGGGATGGGGCAATTCATAAATACAATTATTAACAACAACAACAACAACCTCTCCTTATAATAATTGTGTTTTGGGGTGCCCACCGTCCGCTGGGGTGGCGAGAAAAAATGCGCTCCCTCAGCCATTTGCCCGTCGGCTGCCGCTCAGGGCAACTGGCGTACCATTGACTGGGGGGAGGGACGAGCCTCACCGCCTTGGCCCGTGCAGCCTTGGAACGGGCGGCGAGAGGCCAGTGGAGAGACGGACGAGGCTGCGGCGGGCAAGGGGTGCCAAGGCGGTCGTGTCGCGCTTCCCTTGCCCGGCATGGCCAAGTTTGGCTTAAGGAACTTAAGGCAGCTGCGCGCCCTTCTTTGGGGACTGGGGGGGGGGTCCCTCAGACGGCACCGGCTGCGCTCGGGGAGGGGGGGAAGTGGCTGTGCCGCGCTTCACTCGCCTGGCACGGGGAAAGACCTCCGAGGTGGCCAAGCGGGAGCGGCTGCCCAGAGACCCCTGCCCCCTCCTCGTCCACACGCCAAGGCAAGCGAGCTGAGAAGGGGCCGGGCAGCCCTTTGCGGCCCTCCCCGTTAGTTCTCCTGCCCTCCCGCTGAGGCAGCCCGGCAGGAGAGGCCAGCCAGAGCCCCCCCCCGGCCCAGCCGCCGAGGCCATTGAGCCAGCAGGGGCCCGGGGAGCCCTTGCAGGCTCTCCCCCTGGGTTCTCCTGCCCTTCAGCCCAGGCGGCCGCCCAGAAGCTGCCGCTCAGGCCCCCTGCCCGCGCCGACAGAGGAGGGACGAGCCTGGCTGGCTTGCCCCGCTGCCTCCAGTGCGCGGTGGGGGAGGTGCAACCCTGGCCGCTGGGGAGCCGCCGCACTCTCCTTTGCCAGTGCATGGGGGGCCCCCCTCTGGCAGCCTCTCTCTAGGGCTCGTTGCGGGGGGAGGCGCAACCCTGGCCGCCGGGGAGCTGCTGCGCTCTCCTTTGCCGGTGCGTGGGCCCCCCCCCCTCCGGCGGCCTCTCTCTAGGGCTCGTTGCCTCTCTTCCCACAATGGGCCTTGTGCCTAGTAATAATATAATTATGTTCTCTGAGAAGAGGCCTCTATTAGCCTAGGATTCTTCGGCAGTACGTATTACATGCAGCATTAAATGCTACATTGGCAGGGAGTGACTCTCAGGATAGGGACTGTGATTTATTGAAAATCTGAAATTGGGTTTCGTGATTCAAAGAATCAGTTTTGAATGCATCTCTTCCCTGTCCCACCCCCCCCCCCCCCGCCCCAGTAGTCAGAGGTGGAGAGTGATACATGCTTACATTCAAATAAGGGTAAGGTAGTTTGGTAGTATAATCTCTGGCATCCATGTCAGGATCTGCTTTATTCAGTATTTTAGTGAGTGACTGTAGAGCAGAGTAGGAAACTCGGGTGTGTTTTGCAGTTCATTTCTCAAAAAGATATGGGGATTAATACTTTGAGAAACAACATTGGTGAGGTCTCATTTAGTTGACTTTAAATGAGGAGGAATACCAGGAGGAACAAGTAGAAGTATTACAGGAATAGGAAAATTAAAACTCACTTGGCCAGCTTGACCTCAAAGAATGCAAGGGATGATGGGGGTGTGTGATTGCATTCTGCGGTGGGATTAGTGAGCCAGGTACTTAATGTTCATTGCATTCGTGAATACAAGAATTAAAGGGCTGTTAACTGGCCATTAATAAATTCAGGTGGGAAGTCAGAGCTCTTGTGATGGTCGAAAATGTCAAATTATTTATTTATTTGGATTTATATATAGCTGCGGTGGCTCAAGTGGTTAAGACGCTGAACTGCAGGCTGTGGAAGGTCAGTAGTTCAGCGGTTCAAGACCCGAGCGTGCCGCATGACGGAGTGAGCTCCCGTCTCTAGTTCCAGCTCCTGCCAACCTAGCAGTTCGAAAGCAAGAAATTGCAAGTAGATAAATAGGGACCACTTCAGTGGGAAGGTATTCTGCGGTGGGATTAGTGAGCCAGGTACTTAATGTTCATTGCATTCGTGAATACAAGAATTAAAAGGGCTGTTAACTGGCCATTAATAAATTCAGGTGGGAAGTCAGAGCTCTTGCGATGGTCGAAAGTGTCAAATTATTTATTTATTTGGATGTAATATCCCGCCCTGCAATAGTATCTCTGACCCAGCCGAGGAAGCAAAGAACACGGCTTGGTTTCAAGAAAGATTTAGAGAAGGACTGTGTAATTTTAATTATGTAATCCTGTTTTTATGCTTAGTGTTGTGGCTTGCATCAGGGGAATCTGCCACTCCCACACTCTTATGGATGATATTTCTGCTTCCTTTGAGGGATTACATGTGACCGCTACCGAAAAGAGCCTCAGTAAAAACGCTCCAGATATGTCTGTATGAGCCAAAAACATATCCAAAAAGGGGCGGAGAAAAATGAGTTGCCGTGTTAGTCTGTCTGTAGCAGTAGAAAAGAGTAAGAGTCCAGGAACACCTTGAAGACTAACAAAATTTGTGGCAGGGGAGGAGCTTTCGTGAGTCACTGCTCACTTCTTCAGATATCTGATAATTCTGAGCCATGATTCACAAAAGCTTATACCTTACCACAAAATTTTTTGGGAGGTGAGTAGTGTGTGTGCACGCGCGCGCATGTGCCCTACCAGAAATTTTGTTAGTCTTCAAGATGCTCCTGGACTCTTACTCCTTTCTGCTCCAAAAGGGGCCAGTCACTGTTTTCTCCCCCTGGCTTGCAACCCCTCATACCACACATCACCTCCGATTCCAGAGGTTCCTGACCTTCAGGAATGCGT